AGTGGTTGATGGATGTGTTTTCCTTGCTCAGATTTCGACTCAGTATCCTGTTGTGGATCATGAATTTGACGCAGTGGTGGTCGGCGCCGGAGGGGCAGGGCTGCGCGCTGCCTTTGGCCTCTCAGAAGCAGGGTTCAATACCGCCTGCGTCACAAAGCTCTTCCCGACCAGGTCCCACACTGTGGCAGCCCAGGTGAGGAAGGGACCTGTCCCTGGGGGCAGCCCCAGCCCCGTCCCGTCCAGTGCCGGGTAATGCGTCGGCCCCCTGTTGCACAAGCACCTCACACCATGACCCTCACTTAGTCTCCTGGCTGAGAGACTGGACGCTGTGGCCGAGGCCCCAGCTTGTGCGGGTGGGTCCGTGGTTGGGGTGCGAGTGTCCTCTCCCTGGCATCCGGCTGGGTTTGCACAGTGCCCGGGGGCTGCCACTCCCTGTGCCTTGGCGTGCTCTCTTCTCCAGGGAGGCATCAATGCTGCTCTGGGCAACATGGAGGAGGACAACTGGAGGTGGCATTTCTACGACACCGTGAAGGGCTCTGACTGGCTGGGTGACCAGGACGCCATCCACTACATGACGGAGCAGGCGCCCGCCTCTGTGGTTGAGGTAATGCTTGTTGCATGAGGCCTGGAGAGGGGAGGGGACCCTGGGGGTCTAGTGAGACCCAGGGGGGGCCAGGGCAGAGGCTCTGGGGTCAGGGGACCAAGACCAGTATGGCCAACCAAAAGGAGGGATGAGCTGGTGTCACCAGGGTATTTTTCCCCTTCACGAGTTCCTGAAATACGGTAGGCAGCTGTTTTCTTTCTCAGTGCTGATGTGTTCACGTGAGCAGAGTGGCCGGCTCTGGGTGTGTGCGCTGTGGGGAGTTGTTGGCTTTGGATCAGCCACGGGTCTCCTGGCTCCTGCAGCGAGGTCTCTCTCTCTCTCCCCGGTGTTTCACAGCTAGAAAACTACGGCATGCCATTCAGCAGAACTGAAGACGGGAGGATTTATCAGCGGGCGTTTGGCGGGCAGAGCCTCAAGTTTGGGAAGGGTGGACAGGCCCACCGCTGCTGCTGTGTGGCCGACCGGACCGGCCACTCCCTGCTGCACACGCTGTATGGCCGGGTGAGGCGGCGGGCGCCCTAGTGGGCGGGATCTGGTGGGTTCCTTTGATCAAGTGTTGGAGGACAGATAGGCAACTGCGAGCCCTGGTCTTGGGTTCGGGACATCAGAGCAGCTTGCCTCTGAGCTGTGTCTGTGCATGCTGGGACAGGGCCCTGGGCAGCCCTCACTGATGTGCTGACCTGCCTAGGTCACTGCTTTGCAAGTCAGGTGACCGTGGCTGCCTGCCCTAGTGCTGGGACACATGCAGGTGGTCTGCCTGGGGACGGGGCTGCCCTGACCAGGGTCTAGCTGAGGTGATCCCATACACAGTGGTGGTGCGTCCTCTGTGCCACACAGCGCAGCACGGGCCTGTAGGCAGTGAACCAGGTATCCAGCATCAGGAGCAGAGGCCCTGCAGCGTTCTTGCTGCGTGTGCACATTCCCACCACCAAGCCCCTGATGCCCTCAGTGCTGTGTCTGTGCACCCAAGGCTGCGGCCCTGAGCCTGGCCTGCACTCCTCATCCCCGGCTGTAGCGTGTCATCAGGCGACCCTCCCTCCTGGGTCACATTGAGAGGGCCTGGGTCTCTTTCTCCAGTCCCTGAGGTATGACACCAGCTACTTTGTGGAATATTTTGCCCTGGACCTTCTGATGGAGAACGGCGAGTGCCGGGGTGTCATCGCCCTGTGCATAGAGGACGGCACCATCCATCGCATACGCGCCAAGAACACCGTCATTGCCACCGGGTAAGGGCCACGTCCTCGTCAGGAGTGTTGGGTTTCCAGGTGGCTTTGCTCCACGCCAGGTGGTATATTACAGGGCAGCCAGTAAGATGCCAAGCGTGGGCACTGCCTTGTAGAGGGAGTTAACTTGCCTGGCTCTGGTCCCTCATATGTAAAGGGGACAGCAGACCCCCTGACCTGGTGGTGGGCACATAGGGGCCTCATTGGGCTTGGTGGTGGTCCTCAGGCTGGGCTGAAGGATGGCCAGGTCAGAGGAGGCCGCCTGACCCAATCTGCGTGGACACCCAGTGTTCTGGAAGCCTGTGTTCATACTCCTGCTGCCTGCTCCCACGGTGACAGTCGGCAACCCTGTTGGCACATTGGCTCAGTTCTCTAGGGCAGTGAGAACAGAGGGGCCCGAGGGGGGTGGCTCTCACAGTTCAGGAGACTAGAGGTCCAGATCCAGATGGACTCAGCTCTGCAGAAAGGCCAAAGTAGTCTCGTTAACAACTCTACTTCTGGTCATCTTTCTGTGACTGGACGTCAGTCCTCCTCAGGGTCTAGGAGTTTCTCAGCACCGGGACTGCAGTGCTCTGAGGGCTTGCTGATCTCTGCTGCCTTCTGTAATCTTCCTTATCTCAGAAGAGATTGACTCAGGATACAACCACCTCCTGTAGGGCTGCATCCAACCTCCTTGCCATTGTAGAGATTTGGATTTACAGAATTTGGGGTAATTATTTCACTTACCAATCATGTAGCAAAGCAAATTGGGGCCTGGCTATACTGAGTTTATATACAGTGAACCCTCGCCACTTCGCGCTTCGACTTCCGCGGCTTCACTCTCGTGGTTTTTGCGTAACAGCGCATGCTCTGTCATTACTGCCACTGATTGGCTCATACTGTACACGCTTGATGCCATAAATAATATAATAAATGATAATTGTAACGTCCAAAATGTTTTACCGTATTTTCCCTTTTTCATTTAATAAATTGGGTAATACGAGTGTAATGGTGACTAAAGGGTGTTTTTTCATGTCCTCTATGCTCTAACTACGAAAATATTTGACTTACAAATAAGGAATCCTACTTCGCGGAATTTCATTTATCACGGTAGGGTCTAGAACCGATTAACCGTGATAAACGAGGGTTCACTGTATTCATGAGGAACAGTTTAATCCAGAGCACTGTTATGTAATCATTTAGATTGGTGAAACCCAGGAGGACCTCCAGCCCCTCCCCCAGAGCAAGGTCGCTGCAGACCCTCTCTCTCTCCTCTGGGGCACACATGCAGATGCTGTGCCCCAGGCCATGCTGACAGCTGAGTGTCTTCCAGGGGCTATGGACGAACATACTTCAGCTGCACATCTGCCCACACCACCACGGGCGATGGGACCGGCATGGTTACCCGAGCAGGCCTACCCTGCCAGGACTTGGAGTTTGTCCAGTTCCACCCCACAGGTAGGAGCGGCATTCTGACACCTTCCTCCTTGACCCTCACCGGCCCCTCCCAGAGCACTTACATACCAACCACTCCCCAGACCCACGGCTGGATGGGGCCCTGGCCACATTGTACCCCCCCTGCAGCCTCCCGTGGTGGTGTCTTCTTGCTGGTGGCTTAGTGGGCACCTCTTGTGGTTGAAATGTCATGATCCTTTCCTCCCTGTGACTTGTCAAAAGCAGTGTGTTAGCCTGGGTAGACTAGAGAAACAAGTCCATAAACACACGTGTATAAGGGAGGAGTTAATATGCAAGAGCAATTGAACATCCAGAAAGCATCCCAACCCGGTCCAAGCCCATAAGTTTGACATCAGCCCATATGTCCGATACCACTCTATACAGTCCTCTTCAGACTCACGAGACACAGGCAATACACCGAATGCAGGACGATCACAGGCCAGTGGGTAGAAAGCCTCTTGATCCAGGGCGTTGTAAGCATCTCAGTGCTGGCAGGGTTCTCTGCATGGCTTCTCCAGCTCCAGAGGTCTGGTTGCATCGGGGTAGGTCCATGTGGCTGCTCCAGCTCCCAGGGCGTAGTGCCATGTGTCTTGTTAATAGAGTGTCTTCTCAGGGAGTAAGCTAAGAGAAGTGTCTCCTGCCTCCAAGGAGGAAAATCCAGATTTCCCGTAATTTTCAGGAGAAAGCCATGGCCACACATAGGCCTCATTGGCTATGATCTGATTGACAGACTAGACTCCACCCCTTCACTCTTAATCCTCAAATTGACAAAAGATTATGTAACTACCACAAGCAGTCAAGTCCAGGCCAACTCACTGCACCCTATGGAACTGCTCTGTAGGGTTTCCAAGGATGGAAGTCCTCCTGGGCCAGGCAGCCTTGACTTCCTCCCCTAGAGGCGCTGGTGTGTTTGAACCACTGGCCTTTGGTTTCTGGCCTAGTGCTTAACTCACTACTCCACTGGGGCTCCAGTGTGGACTGGAGGGCCCTCTATGCCTAGAATTACCTTGAGGAAGGCACTGGACATTTAGGTTACAGCTAACTTGGCCACAACTTAGCTTGTATTTCCTCTGCAGGCATCTACGGGGCTGGCTGTCTGATCACGGAAGGGTGCCGTGGTGAGGGGGGCATCCTTATCAACAGCCAGGGTGAACGGTTCATGGAGAGGTACGCTCCTGTCGCTAAGGACCTGGCATCCAGAGACGTCGTCTCTCGCTCCATGACCCTGGAAATCCGGGAAGGAAGGTGTGTCTGATTGTGCTGCAAAGATGTCCTTTCACGCACACGCGCGCGCACACATGCTGACACATGCAAGTGCAGCGGGCTCCTTAAGACGTGTTTATGAAGAGTCTCTGAAACCAGTGTGCTGGAAATCACCTGCACATGTGTGGCCTGTGATGTGCATGGGTCATAGAGGCAGGAGTACCCCGGGGACTGTGCGGGGCCCAGCCCCCCGCCCCCCATGGACTGGCTCCAGCATGGCCTGTGGGTGTCCCTTAGGGGTCTGTGTGTTGACAGCAAAATGCAGGACTGTGATGGCCTCAGACTCCGGACTTGCAGGGAATGTGGCACTCCCCAAGCAGCCACATCAGGAGAACCTGGCACGGAAGTCACGCCCTCTCTTTCCTGCCAGGGGCTGTGGTCCCGAGAAGGACCACGTCTACCTGCAGCTGCACCACCTGCCCCCCGAGCAGCTGGCCACGCGCCTGCCCGGCATCTCGGAGACAGCCATGATCTTCGCGGGCGTGGACGTCAACAAGGAACCCATCCCGGTGCTGCCCACAGTGCACTACAACATGGGCGGCATCCCCACCAACTTCCGGGGCCAGGTAAGGGGGGGGGGTTGTTTCCAACTTCCACCAGGGCAGAGCAGGGCACTCCTTGGAGAGAGATCCCCGGGCCTCCCCACTCACTGGTCCCGAACCATGGCGGAAGCCAGAGGAGCGGTGTAGGTGGTCCTCAGCCCACTGCTTGTTCTCTGCTTGGTGCCCCTGGTGTGCAGTCAGAGGACCTGCTGTTCACAGGTACTTCCCGTTTAGGATCCTGACCTGGTGGAGGGACATCTGGACAGTCCCAGCCCTTGCAGAGGTCACCACCCAAGAGCCACTCCCCACCACCTTGCAGGAGGTGGGGAGTGGGAGCTGAGCCGCCTCATAGAGGCTGCGCTAGAATCCGGGCTGAGCGGCCCAAAGCGGGGGAGCTGGCCCGGGAATGAGGCCACAGGGGGCAGCATGAGGCAGAGGCCGGGGAGCAGAGTGGGACTGGGGGCTTGGGAGGACCGACCCAGATGCACACCCCTGAGAGACAGACCCCAACCCGGTGACATATCGCCCCAACTGTCTTTGGCACAGGTTCTAAAGCATGTGAATGGCCAGGACCAGGTGGTGCCTGGCCTGTACGCCTGTGGGGAGGCCGCCTGCGCCTCGGTGCACGGTGCCAACCGCCTTGGGGCAAACTCTCTGCTGGACCTGGTCGTCTTTGGCCGAGCCTGCGCTCTCAGTATCGCCGAGTCCTGCAAGCCAGGTACTGCTGCCCCCTGGGCAGGTGTTCCCACTCCACACAAGACTGCTAGTCGTCTCCACTGCTGCTGTCTTCCTCCCGCCTCTGTCTTCTGATGGGTAGCCTAAAACTGGCCCGGCCCCTGGTAGATCAGACACTCGATTTGCATAGTAGGCTGTACTCACTTCATTTGCATAGTCTGGGGACCAGGCCCTCCAAGGAGCCACCACACCCAGGGCAGGCTGCGGTCTGGGATGGGACACAGTCTCAGACTGCAGCCCGGGGGCGTGCAGCTCTCCCGTCCAGCAGCCAGCAGCAGACCCTCGGGGTAGAGAGACAGCAGCGGCTGAGGGACCGCTCAGGCCCCTGCCGTGGTGGGCATGTGCGCCCTCGTGAAGTGCCCGACCTTTACTGTGGACTTGGAATTGAGTGGTGGCTCGCTGCCATCTGCCCCCCTCGCTCCGTGGTCTGCTACACACTTGTCACCCAGAATCCTCTGTTTATGCTCGTGTCTGCTTCCCAAACCTTCATTCTGGCTTTGTTTTGTTTTGAATTAGGAGACAAAGTTCCTCCAATTAAGTCGAATGCCGGCGAGGAGTCTGTGATGAACCTGGACAGGCTGAGGTTTGCAGATGGCAGCATTCGGACATCCGAGCTGCGGCTGAACATGCAGAAGGTGAGGCCCGGATGCAGCTGCCCAGGGGCTCGGACCAGCTGCTCCATAATGAGACCGACTGCATGGGCAGGTGCCAGTCCTACCCACACCAGGGCCGGAGCTTCTGGTGCTCCAGCTCCCTTGTACCTGTCTGCTGCAGGCCTGCAGGAGGAGGCACAGGCTGGCCAGAAGGGGTTCTGCCCCTGGGGGGGCTGTCCTCTACAGACTCCCCAGGAGCCTGGCACAAGCCTGAGGACAGACTTGGGGTATCTCAGCTCCCAGCAATGGGGGTGTCTTTAAACAGCCCCTAGAAGCTCGGGGGTCGAAAAGTGGCCCCAGCATCTTGGGCGTCTTTGGACAGCAGCACTGCAGGTGGCCACCGGCCTCTCTTGGTTTGGGGGTCACCCAAAGTGTGGCTGGTTGGGCTGTGGCCCTAAGTTTTTAACTCCTGTGTGCATAGACGGCCGCCCTAACTAGTGGCTCCTGCTGTGGGTAGCAACAGGCTTCGGTTAGTAGAAGTGTGTAAAACAGAGAAGGTCTTCCGATGAGCAGACAGGAGCTTCGGTGGCACTGTGAGCTAGGTGCCAGGCAGCTGACTGCAAGGACAGCGGTTCGAACCCCCAGCCACTCTGGAAGAAAGAGGAGGCTGTCTGGGCCCAGATAAAGATTCCCAGTTCATTGTGTACTGGAGCAGTCTGCTGTGGGCAGTGTGTGCCCAGAAGGCATCAGCCTGTCCTGCTCAGCTTGCCGCCGTGTCTGCTACCTGCGTCAGGGATCTTAGGAGGCCACCAGGCATCTGGGGCGGGAGGGAGGCAGTCAGGTCCACAGCAGCTTTTCCAGAAGCGAGGTAGACAGAGGAGGCTCTTCCCCAGGCCTGGTTAGGGCTAGCTGGCCTGGCGACCTGCCCTTTGATGCCAGACTGCCTGATGTGCGGTCAAGCCTCTAGGACTTCCTTCACCCTCTGCAATGGATCGTTCTGACGGTCAGTCAGCTGCGTGCTCCAGTGTGGCCTGGGTCTGCGTGGGAGGTCTGATGATGCTTCTGTGGCAGCACCTCCAGAGCCTGCTGCCAGCTGATGGGGAGTGGGTGCCCAGGCGGCCCTTGTTGCTCTCCTGGCCAGTGGCAGTGTTTTCTGTTGGACTTCTCTCAGAGCACTGCCTGACCATGGCTGTGTTCCGCCTCACAGGGTGGGCGTCTTTCTAGACACACCTGCCCCGACAGGAGCATAGACGGTTTCACGGAGCTTTGTGTCGTCAGAGTACACCCCTCCCCATTAAGTCTTTTCTGACTCAGTGCCTTTATAGGGTGTGCAAGGCCACACACCTTTATGGGAATAGACGGCCTCCTCTTTTGTCCCACCCAGTGCCGGTGGGTTTGAACTGCTGACCTTGCCATTCACAGTCCAAGGTTTACCGACAATGCTGCGAGTTGTCTGTTGTCTCCGTTTTCTGCTTGAAGCACATCGTGTTTATTTACCACTGAAGAAAGGGGAGCATGCTGGGTGCCTGGTGACATCGTTTTCTGTTGCAGTCCATGCAGAGCCACGCGGCTGTGTTCCGGCTGGGCAGCGTCCTGCAGGAGGGTTGTGAGAAGATCAGCAAGCTCTACGGGGACCTGCAGCATCTCAAGACCTTTGATAGGGGTGAGCACAGGCCGGGGGCGGGGGGCAGCATCAAGGGACACCCCTGCTATGAGTTGCCTGGCCGTAACTGCTCTGCCGGCGAGTCTCCTGGGTCCGCACGGCTTGCCCTCCCACCCCTCAGTGTGCCTCTGTGTGTGTGTGCGTGTGTCCAGGGATGGTCTGGAACACAGACCTGGTGGAGACCCTGGAGCTGCAGAACCTGATGCTGTGCGCACTGCAGACCATCTATGGGGCCGAGGCCCGAAAGGAGTCCCGCGGCGCCCACGCCAGGGAGGACTACAAGGTACGTCTACACGGAGGGCCCAGCACCACCCGTCCCCTCCCCCTCAGCACTGCCCATCCTTTCTCCCCGAGGCCTGTGTGTCCCCATCTAGCACTGCCTGTCTGTGCCCCCTGGGGTCATGTGACACACCTGCCACTGCCTGTCCCCTCCCCCTGGGCACCACATGTCCCCAGGACCTGGCACTGCAGGTGCTGTCACGATTTCTGAGTTTGCGTTGTTGGGCCCTGCCCCGCTGCCAGGCCTGAGGACGTGTGGGTACCGCCCGTGGGCTCCGTCTGGTTCTGGTGCCCACGGGGCAGCTTCCTCGTAGAAAGTGTGCTGCTTTGTGGCGGGCTCACCGCCTGCGGTTCCGAGCTGCCTGCTGGCCGTCCCTCCCGAGGAATGTGTTAGTGGCACCGCTGGCTAAGACTGGTCTGTGCTTGTGTTTGGTTGGAACAGTCGTGGGCCAGCCTGGGTTGTAGTGGACAAGGACGTCTGGAGAGTGGAGCCTGTGGGCTTTGGGGAACAAGACCACCTGGGGTTCCCGACGTAGGAAGGCCAGCTCTGGAAGCTCTCCAGTCTGGTACATCCTGGGACGAACCAGCTCTGACAGGCAGCAGGCGGGGCTGAAGCGCATGGCTATCTGCCGTCAGGTGCGGATTGATGAGTACGATTACTCGAAGCCCATCCAAGGGCAGCAGAAGAAGCCGTTCGCTGAGCACTGGAGGAAGCACACCCTCTCCTACGTCGATGTCAAGACTGGAAAGGTAGGAGGGGCCTGTGCTCCACAATCGATCGCTCTGTCTGCCAGCTCCCTGTGGTGACCCCAAGTGGGAGGCCCAACCCCTGACCCCTGCAGTACAGCCAGTACAGGTCATGGTGCAGGCCTCAGGGTAGCCTGTCAGGGGCAGTGTTGTCATCACTTACCAGGCGAGAGACCACCGGCAAGCGGTGACATGTGCCCCTTGGGGCTCTCCTGCTCTGTCTGCTTCCCCAGGAGGTTTTCTGGGGTGACTGAAGAAGAGGTGTGTGTGTTCATTTAGAAAACACAAAGTACAAACAGTAAAGGGAACGTTGATTTTGTCGCCCAGCTGCCAGCAATGAGGCATTCTTATTTGGGGATCTTTTTCCCTCAAGTGTTCTGTGAATGAGGAGGCTTCAGAAAGTGGGGAAATGAAATTAGAATGGTTCTTAGCACTCTTAGAGGCCCTCTCTTCTCAGCATAGTTTTGCTTTGTGAGTATATGTGTATGTGTGTGAATATCCACCTGCAAGTGAAACGTAGTAGCAGGTAGCCTTTGAAACATGCCGCAGGGCTGCAGAGAAGTGCCCCGGAGGTCTGAAGGCGCTGGCTGAGACGATGACCCTCTGTCCAGGCTGTTCACAGCTGTGTGCCTTTCCCTGGTTCCCGTCAGTCACTGGCCAGCCCTGAGATGGCATGTTTAAACGATTTTCAAATTTCTGTTACTAGAATTACTACCCTGGGAATCCTGTGGAGTGCCTTCCTGCTAAGCCTCTGTTCCGGGAGTTGTCTGCCAGAAGTGGGCCGGGAGGCGGCTCTGCCTGCCTGCCTGCTAAGGTGTGTCGTCCGCCTTGTTTTCCAGGTCACTCTGCAGTACAGACCGGTGATTGATAAAACACTGGACGAGACTGACTGTGCCACAGTGCCCCCTGCTATTCGCTCCTACTAGTGAGGGCTGCCGCTCCTGAACCGCCATGTAATTCTGTGTGATACTCGTGGCCCTGTGCACACAGTTCTTCCTTGCGTGCTGGAAGTTTGTCAGTAAGGACTTAGCAGGTGAATTGGTTCTCTGCCCAGTGGCCAGCAGCTTGCCAGGATGAATTAAGCTGACCTTTGTCCTTTGCTTCATTCTTATGGAATAGTAAAGGTGGCATAATTCTTCAATAAAACCTAAATGAACAAGCTCGTCTTTCTGGGTCCACTTAAAATCATGGCGTTTATTGTTGCTTTGAATTACCATTTTACTGTATGACATTGAAATAGAAATTTTGTCTCTTT